TTACATGGTTACACTAAAGTAAACTGATTTCTGGTCAGTGGGACTAAACCTCATCACTCAGCCATCCCATAATTCAACATTTGACTTTCCACATCTGGAGAAACTCTTACGAGATTATTGTTCACCCGGTTTGCTGTCAAGATAGAAATGTATCATTGCCTTTGGAAGTCGGGGTTGGCATTGCTCTGCATTACTTAGTCATTCACATTTGAGCGGTCAGTGAGAGAAGAGGAACATTTAGTTAAATGGTTGTTTAGTAAAATGACACATAAATATTAATGCTGGTGGTCTCTACATTTTTCTATTGAAATAACGATTTCCATGGAACAATTCAAATCCACAGTAAGTCTCAGTACTTTCATTCTACGACCGAAGCCCTGAGCCCAAGATGTAAGTAAATGTAAAAAACAGTTCCCCAAAATACAGTTTCAACAGTTAAAAGGAAAGACGCCCGACTACATCACAAACACACACCAGTTTGTACAGTGTTAAATCAAAGACTTTTCAACTGCAGATTAATATATCACTATTGATGGCAGCAGAATGATGAATGCAGGATGTGAAAATTGTTTTATTAGTGGAGGTCAATGACACACTTCACTTAGAAAACACTTAATAGTGTCAATAACACTAAAATAGTGTAGTCTCATGAAGTATTAATTGTGGTGCTAACAGCTCTGAATGTAAGGTTTTAGATATGTGACAGCGGTAATGTTATTATTCACAGACCTCACGTCGACAGTGACACTACTCTTCACATGCAGCTTGTGGACTCTTTGCCACCTCAACTGTATTTTAAGACACCGATGTCACTAGATTTGCAACACAAAACTTATCACTTATCACTTTTAAGTGTATTTTTTTTATTGCGTATCACCTTTCATTCATGACCATTTCTGTTTGCAGTACACTTAATAGGATGCACATAGTATGTATTACCATTCATTTTAGTTATCCATGCTTCCTTTTTCTAGGTGTTTGAAAGTGAGTCCTGTTTTGCATCTATGTGATCAATCTCGTTTATCTCGTTTCTCACGTTCTGAAAAAGAAACAGCCCATAGTGTCACACGGCGAGTAAAATATACTGAAAGATAGCAGGGAAAGAGGCTTTTTAACCTCTGCCAGAGACAGAGAGAGAGGACATGAAAAAAGGCTGCAGGAGTCCAAGTGGAAAAGGAATTCTGTCTCTATCGATGACACTACTCATTGATAAGTGTGCGCGCATGCCGTTATATTCCGGTGCGATGGTAAGCCTACTGTGCCTGTGCATGTGTGAAAAAGGCAAGAGAGAGCGTGACCACACTTGAGTGGCTGTGTTAAAGAAATGCAGAGGGCATTCTCTTCAAAGGGGGTGTATTCAAAGAGCAGGGAGTTTAAAAAGCAGACAGCACTGAGGGCACTCGGGTTTGAACTGTGTTTGTACAAAGCTCTAAAAAAGAAAAGAAAGGGATTCCTGCAGAGCTTTCGCTCTTTTTAAGGAGAGAATATTTGGAGAAATAAAGAAAAAGCCAGAAAAGGGGGAGGGATGAGGGATGAGGGGGGAGCCGTGGACTGAACGGCAACAAGTGAGGGGGAGAAAAAGAGAGAGAGAATGAGGCGGACACATAGAGGGAGAACATTTGCCCGGGGCGGCGCTACATGCGGTGCCCCTCTCCTCCCCTGCACCTCGTCACTCACTGGGGCTCTGGTGGATGTAACCTCTTGAATAGAAGATGAAGATAATTAAAGACTTTCTCCACTTTTTAGTATTCACTAAATACAATTTTGATCATTTATGTAAACATGTGTTGTTGTTCATTTCTGTTGCATGTTAAGCCAGTTGTTTCTGGATGTCGCACACTTGTAGGTTTGCCTCCTCAGTCGATGAACTCTGGGACAAAGAGGGACATTACAAAGACAGACACATCGTTTTCTCTTTGCCGAAGCTCTGAGGTTTGATGTGTTGTGTGAATTTAAGTGTACAAAATACGTTAATTCAGTGACGTCTTTAGCTTTGTTGGAAACTAAAAACGGATCTGTAACCAACATGGACACTCCAACATGAGAACGTTATTATATGTCTATACTAATGTTTCAGCTCAGTCGGCACTAGACGACAGAGTCCGTGCTCTCTCACACAGAGGCTCACTGTGTTCTGGGTCATCTGATGATCAAGATGTTTGTGGTCAATGTTTATAATCTCGTGGTGACTGGCAATTGATTTTCCCCCCCCCCCCCCCCCCTCCCTCCATTTTGTCTGCTTCGGTATTCTCGTTCTCTGCAGCCTCAGAGACGAAGCAAGACATGCGGAGGATGGATGAAGTCATAGTAAGGAAACACCAGTAAAAACGTTCTTAGTTATGCCAAACAAAGACTACGAAAGACGTGATTGTATTGTATACATGGAAATGTTACACACGTGTCCTAATATCTCACAGAACCGTCATGAAGGGCAAAAAGTTCACAGTGCCTTGGAAATGTCATGTCTCAACAAAAAAAAAGAGTGATAATCAGTCATAGCCATGATGTAGTATGTCATAAAAAGTCTTATTATAGTAAGCCATAAAAGTGTCACAAAAAGCTCATTTGAAAAGTTATTATCTGGAATGCCATTTAAAGGTCATTCAAAAATCGTAGATAAAAAAGCTATTTTTGCCAGTATTTTGTTATACATTACGGTAAAGAATGCAATTACAGTAATCAAAACAAATAATACATATAATAGTGTAATACAGTATGTTGTATAAAAGGCATAAGGAGAAGTATGTGTCAAAGAATATGTCATGAGAATGCAATAAACATTATGCCATAAAATACTATTTTTTAAAGTAACTGTAAAGCTATGAAACTCATGTAACATACCTGCTATGGGGTACGTCTTACAAAGTACATAAAAACTGTAAAGTTTACCATTGTACGGCAGAATGGTGAAGTACAACACGCTGTAAAGAGTACGCCATGTGAATTACAACAGACATGTCATCAATCTGTCATATGCAATTACTTTTTTATATGTACTATACTATGACTTTTTAGATCTCCTTAACGAGTGTTGGTGATAATTACATAAAAGACAAAAAGAAAAGTCAAATGTATTAAAGAGATTCTGAGATCCAGTGTGCTGATATTATACTGGGACTGTATCAATATTTAAATCTTATTATACTGTGAAGTTTTCTATATGCAAGATTATTTTTCAAGTGCTGCAATGTGACTTTCTTTCTTTATGACAATTGACCATTGCAATGCCTGATATTCATACCAAGTACCAGAGTTGGAGTTATTTTATACCCAAAAGGAAACAATAAAATGAATGAATAATGTGTGACATGGTACCTGAATCGACTAGAAAGGATCCAAAGGATATTTAGGTTGTTTAAAACGTTTGGGCTTTGGAATAAACGTAATATTTGAGTAAAACGACTGGAGCACGTTGTGGCATTTCAGGTGGTGCTCAAAGAAAACTACTATGAAAGCCCTTTGTGATGTTAATAAGACTCAGGAAGGAGAATCACACCACACCGGACCTGTGCGTGTTCTAATGAAGACGTGGAAATTGCTTATCTGGAGTGTTAACTGGCCTCATCCTTCAGTGTATTCCCAGAGCTAATAAAAGCAGCATCACATCCGTGCTACAGACCTTAAGGCCACTGTAGGTTTGTGGTACGTGGGGTCACTGTGTGTGTGTGTGTGTGTGTGTACTTGCTTCGCTGTGTTCTGGAAGTTCGACCCCACTCGGGGGAGGGAAGCGCTCCATCGGTAGCCAGTTGCTTGCTCAACACCTAATCTTTGCGTGTGTGAAATATCCCATTTCAATTTGTTCTGTTGATAGATGCCGGCGCTCTTTGAGCCCTCTGGGAGCACATTCTTTCCTCCCCACTACTGCTGGCTAGCGAGACCACTCGAGACGCATCCGGTCGACCCCCCCCCCACTATTGTAAACAAGTAGGATCTTACTCTAAAGGTCAGAGGGGCTTAATAATCAACATTGAGACACCCATCTCTCGACAGCACTCGATCCATTTATGCAGCTTCAGCAGCTGCTGACGAACACACAATGTTTGTGAGGACGGTTTGTGTTACAGTCACACACCCTCCGATGGGGTTTACCTGCTCAGAGACACACAGACGTGGAGCCTTTTCGTCGGTTGCCGTTGGTTTCACGTGACCATGCGGCTTTGAGCCGCACTGTTCCCGGACGCGCTGCGGGGAAGTGGAAGTGGAGTTTGGTCGTAATCTGACAATATCCACCTTACGGCAGCAAAAAGTGAAGCCTGTAAAGCCCCGACGCTCGGCCCCGTGCTGCTCTATACCGAGATGGTGACGGACCGTACTCCTTTAAAAAAAAAGAGATGAGCCAGAAACCTCAACCACAGCTCCTGTCTGGTACACAGTGAGTGTTTCTTTTCACACTGAGCATGGAGGACAACTGTGATGAAATTCCTGGAGAACACACCTTGTGGAGCGGGTGGGATGCAGAGGAGGGTCAGCAGGTGAGAGGGGAACAGGAGGTGAGAGGAAATATAATAATGATAAACAGATTGCCGGTCACAGCGGCCATCGCCCAGCCTCTGGGGGACTTTTCCACCTTGTCATGTCCAAAGACCTTGCCTAACAGTCAGCGAAGGGACGGGAGATGGTACCTGTGTGTGTGTGTGTCTGCATTTCTAATTTATTGGCCCACTGAATTGCTGATGTGTGTGGAGCTACATGCAGCTCAGAGCACCGGCCTGGAACATCCTGGCCTCGCTTCATTAGGTGCTCACGCCCTCAAGCTGCTGACATTTCTAAACTTGTTCGCCAGTCTTCTAATTGTAGGGAAGGATTTGACACAGTGAATGAGACAATGCGCGGAGGATGTTTCTCGTGCCCGTCATTTACCTCGCTGCTTGGATGTGGAAGGCAAAAATGTTACGATAAGAGATAAAGGAAATCAGACCCTTCCTCATTTGAACGAAGAAATCAACAATTTCATCAAATATGTCTGACTTTACTTTGCAAAGTATATGAATACAACACAATAAGAAATGCAACAGTAATTTATTATGGTTAACAATACAGTGTTATCCATAGTGTGAGTGTGCGTAGTAGCCATAATACAGCTTTTAAATTATCTGGTAACAGGATCCCAAAAAGCTGCCATCACCTTGGAATATAAAACCTAGACTATTTAGATTCAGGATTATTTTTAAACAAAGTCTCACTCCAACTAATACATTCCCTCATGTGCACAAACACACACAGCAACAGATCAATTAACAGTGCATGCAAGTCTATTCTCGTCCAAACGACAAATGTCACATCTAAATGTCAAATTATTATATTTTATAATGTGTTGAAGCAAAGATGTTAAAATTAAATAACAAATTTATAAAAACTATTACCGTAAAACTGAAATCAGTAGCCCAAGTCCACCGGTGTATATTTTGGATTCGATTTCACTCTTTTTCAGCAAAGGCGGGAAATACCATCAAATTGTTTATTTTTTCATTAGCGCTTCACCGACTTGTTTGTAGACATCACAAGAATGGAATGACTTATTTCTGTAACTGTAGACAGTCTAAAGATGTGTATATAGCATGTCGATATTGAAATACCTCACTCGGAATCCAATGGAGGCATCCGGTGAGTGAAGCTGTGGCTCGGCTTTTAATTGAGGTTTTGTGGTTTTGCAGGTTGTGCACTGGAAACGCATCTCGTAACACTTTAAATACTACCATATCTTTGCTGGCAGACACATTTTTTTCATGTGCAAAACCAATTGACAGTTTTATGATGTAAACACTTCAAGGGAAGAATATCTCATGACAGTCTCCTGAGGTTTTGTACAACAACAATTCATGAAGCGGTGAAGTGCTCCTTCATGAGCAAGTGAGAGAAAAAGTGGAGATATTGAAGCTGTGTGCATTCAAGTATTCCTTGTGACTTTTGTTTCTTAATTAACCTTCCACTAATAATGATAATATATGAGGAGTAAAGTGATTTGGGGTATGTCTCAATTCATTGGGCTGCATCCTTTGAGACGCATTCGGCAACCAGATACGTCACTTCGGCCGCGACTCGCCTGGAACTCGTTCCGCAGTTCATATTTAAATGTAAGTAGTAGAATTCACTTGAGTATCTACAGATAAAATTGTTATATTATACTATAGAACATCATCATACCCCCGTGAAGGTCTACCATGAAGGCTGGGTCCTACACTGATGGAACCCACTGAATTGAGACACAGCTATGGAGACAGTAACAGTCATTAAATAAATGGGGAAAAAAACAGGAATGCCTTATTTTCATCATATTTTAAAAAGGGTTTTCCTTTGTTTTAGCTTTGACCAGCGCCCCTTTAGTCGGTTCATCTGGTTGCAATAATTAAACAGCTCCTCCTGACTGGCAAGTCAGTATTTAATATGGCATTTTTGTGCTTTCTTCCTTCGTGGATTTCTCTGGGCTTTGGCACTTTAGGATGAGATGTTCACCTGGTCCTGGTTCTCCATGGTTATTTGGTTCAGCTCTCGGACCTTTGCTGCCTTCTCCTTATCCAGCATGTAGTAGTTGTAGATGTTCATGACGAAGAGAAACAGGCCGCCAGTCACAATCACTGAGCCACACATGAAGAAAAGGTACCTGTAGTCGTCAAAGAAGTCCACCAGTAACCCTGTGTGCAGAAGGGCAGAAGGATGCAAAGAGGGTGCGTTACAAACCAGGGGGGCGTCAGTGGAACCAGTTTTATTCCACAGCTAAACACTGAAATGTTGTCTGCCATGACACGCACAACACAAACTGAATAGGATCTTTATTCCGTACAACTTTACAAGTTTGATGGTGAAGAACAAGACCAAACTTCACGCTTCCGTGTGAGTTGGAGGGATTGAGAGTGACAGGGGCCAATTTGAGAAGAGCCATGTCGGAAATGACCCAGGACACCCTTTCTAGCTCTCCCCCGTATCTCTGGGAAGGCAATTTGGACGGCTGCTACCGAAACGAATCAGAAGAGAAGCCCATTCTCAAAGCCATAAATATCGAGCCAAAGTCTGCAGGAAAGTAACAGATGTTGTTTAGATCAGATTTAAGCCTCCAGGTTTTCCAGGTCTTAACGGGATCCCCAACCAACCAAACTCCAGGGCGTGTTTGACAACCTGGTACACTTAAGAGTGTAGCAGGCACCTTTACTGCACGGCAATATACAGTATCTTTAAAAAAGGATTGTGGGTCGGTCTCCAAAGCCAAACGCCATCTTTTTAACAAATGGTGATGCTTTGTGTGTGCATCTACTGTCTGGTACCAACCTAGGAGGGGTCTCTTTGTGTTATGATCTCAATGCAGTCTGTATCATCTGATTGATAGCACTCATTTGCTGTGTGTACGACAATGACCATCACCCTCATTAGGGCAGACCTTGATCTGCTCAGCGGTAATTAAATCCATCTGGCATGGTCACCCCTTCCTTCTTTTTAATGTATTCACAGCTTAATTATGGCCCAGGTACAGGATTTCAATGAGAGTTTGAACTGAGCGTCATTAAACACCCAAAGCAAAGGGCTAATTACACGTACTTACCTCACTTCCTCCTAATTGGATTGACCCGGAGGTTCGGGGGGGGGGGGGGGGGGGTAGCAACAAGCAGAGTTGTTGGGGTAGACGTAAGGATTGCGTCCTCTGGCGGAGAATGTTAGACGTGCAGCGGGGCACTTATTTACCCTATTTAATGAACAGGGTCGCACCAGGCAAACTGGGGGGGTATTCATTTTCAGCCAATTAGAAAGAGTTTGTCAGTGGGCCGATATGTACAGCTGAATATGTTGTTCTTCACTGTGTTGTCTTATCGGTCTTGTTGTCCATTGTCTTACTGTCTGATGTCTTTCACCAACCGCCAAGTCAAATTCCTTGTATGTCTGACGTATTTTGGTAATAAATGTTCCTGATAGCTCACACATTGGCTAAAACTTGCATCTAGCTTATTATTTCCTACTTAAGGATCAAGGATCTTGAAGCCAATCCCCCTCATTTACTTTATTTTTTGCAGCGCTAAAGATGGAGGGTGTTTAACCGTGTGTTGTGAGTATAGGCCCTATAAATACCTCGACCCTTTTTTCGATACCCTATTTTTCTGTAGCAAAGCCGCACTCCGATGGCTCATTTGACTGTTACCATACATTTTGGGTGTGGTACTTTTGCTATACAACATGGTTTCAACACAGTGAAAATATTTCTTTCAGGAAGCAGCTGCCTCAGCAGAAAGTCCACTGATGACAACAGCAGTAATGTTGCGTGCTTTTGTTCTGTAGATGACAATTTGTCCACAAGAAACATTCACTTCCTTTTTTTATTAGAAACCATGCTGCTGTTTTTACTGACCTTAAGAGAAGACAGTTCCATAGTGGGAGTTTTCAAAACTGGTCTAATCTCAAAAGAAATGTCCGGGAAGCACAGAGGGTAAACAATATCTTTCCGATCACACGGTTATTTGGACCATGAAAGTAGGTGTCCAACGCTTCAATCCAAAGGTATCAGAGTCTTTAGAGACAGAAGAATGCTGGCGATGTACAGGAAGGGATCGGATGGGAAAGGGTCCGTTTCTTGTTTTTGATTGGCTCATGAACACGTAGTTCAGTAGCTTGTAAATTGATGAGCAGCGATAATAAATAAAAGTCTCCACTGAGCAACATGTATAACAGATACTCACTTGTTTTTAATTAACACTGTGTTAACAATTCAAATTCTCATGAGGCTATTCTTTTTTAAACATCCTTATGAGAATATTTGATGATCAAAAGAACGGTCTGTCTCTTTGTCTATACTTGAAAAATAGTTCGGCTCAGACTGGAACCGTGACTGGATCATGCAGCCAGAACGCAGCTCCATTCATCAGATCCAATCACTGCACGGGACACACAGGCACTCAGAAAGTGACACGGGCTCTCCGTTCTTTTCAATATCCAATATCAAAACAGTAAATTTGAAAGGCCTGAGCTGCTTAGCTTTGAGCTATAATCCATAATTTGCACAGAGGCCATATCCTATAGTAGACTTCAAAAAAGCCTGAGGAACCGTGATTCATGATTACCTTCAGCTTACTCATCCCTGACAAACTTACTGTCGTGGTGTGAGACCGAACAGAAGCTTTGATTTAAGTCAGTACTGCATTATTTACAAAAAGGAGATAGCGCTAAAGTGGCTATTTACTGTATTTCTCGTGTACAATGCTTATTCCAAAGTGTGCGTTTGTATACATGTGTGCATCTTGGCGGTTCATCCGGAGGAGGAGGGATCAGCAGAAGACATTTTACATTGTGCTGGAGGTCAGTGTGCGTTACCTGCGGCAGGCGGTCCCAGCAGCATGGGGAAGCACTCGATGATGGTCACCAGTCCCACCGCACTGGGGAAGCGTTGGTTTCCCATCAGGTCCATCAGACACTCAAATATCAGGGCAAAAACCATCCCGAAGCTCAGGCCGAAAAACGCGGCATACGTCACCAGGAAGGCGTAGCTGTTGACCAGCGGACACAGCAGGTGACACGTGCCGTTGAAAACCATGGCGAAGCTGAAGAAATACTGGATCCTGGGCCTGATCCACTTGCTGCTAGCTATCAGGCCAGTGGCCGGCCGAACAAACATGTCGACAAAGCCCATGATGGAGAGCAGGTAGGCTGCGGAGTACTCCTCCACGCCTTGGTCAATGGCGTAGGCGGACAGGAACACAATGGGCGCATAGGCACCGAAGATGAACAGAACGTTCCCGATGAGGTAGATGACGAAGCCTCTGTCCTTGAAAAAGGTGAAGTCCATGAACGTCTTAGCCCTGTTCATACAATCTATTTTGGGCTTTGTGTTATGTGGCGGTTTCTCAACTTCATTCAGAGGCGCGGACGTGGGAGCGCCTTCCAGGCTGAGCGACGGGTCTCATCAAGGCGCCGGCAACACAACAGTTTAACATCAGGCCCCCGAGGATGAGGAGACTTCCTCTCCAGCCAAACATGTCCAGTAAATATTGGGTTGACAGGAGCCAGGATGCACAGGAACACTGGACTCCCAGCCATGGCTAGTCCGTTGGCTAAAGGACGCTTGATGAGGAAATACTTGCTGATGATGGTGAGGGATGCGTTGAGGTTCAAGGAGAGTCCACAGCCTGTGAGCAGACGGATTTAGAAGACAAAAACAAGTCACATTTCGACAAGCCTCGGTGAGAAAACCCTCCTGGATGTAAACTCCAAAGGGTGCTTGCTAAATTAAATCAAGACTGATTCAGCTTGGTGCTCATTAGGGTTTCAGCCTGTTTACTTTCGACTGGCTAAGATCTCATTATAGAATGCTTGAATTATTTGCAGAATAATTTCCTCATTTGAATAGAAGTAAATTAGAAAGCCTGGTTAATACACTCATTTGCTTACCTTTTTACCCCCAAATTGAAATGTTAGTTTCTATGAGGAGGAAGAGTTACAGGTGGCTGGTTAGGGCACTATATCCTCCTTTTACAATGACAGTCTTCTCAGGCTTCATGGCAAAGTTTTGTTTGTGAACATCCAATAGGGGAATCTAACAAGAGGATTTATAAAAATTACAAATGCTGTAGAAATGGTGTTAATGAAACACTCCATATTTTTCATTATCAACAGTCTATCCGCCAATCAGAGCCTCCCCCCCCCCACAAACCACCATCTTGACAATTAAGTTGCCCTTGATTGTTCATACTTCAAAAGCAGTTAAAAATCAGCAATTCCTGAAGAAATAAGGGGCAATAAATAAAGTTCCAGGAGCTATCTATATAAAAGATTAGTATTTAACAAAAGCCACTCAATGAGTTTGTCATGATGTGTGTGTGCATCTGTGCATGCATGTGTGTATGCACAGATGTCTGCTAGGTGCGTCAGAGCACAGGGGGGAGCAGAGCAGGGCACACGCATGCCCCTGGGCACCACACATGACCCAGCCACTTGCCGGGCCTATTAATCCTTCACAACAGTCCTCGGCAGGGTAATGAGCCTCGCAGGGTGGCGGGGAGCCCCATGTGACGGCCGTGATCGGAGCCTAAGGGAGGGCAATGAGGGCCACGGACGACCATTCCCTCTGACATCGGGGACAGGTCTGTCTTAATTACCGTCCTGGCTGTGGTCCCCTTGGTGCTCTAACTACACCCCAGGAGCTGGGGCAGATGCCGCACCCCCCCCCCCCGCACCCCCCAAAACCCAACAATCACTACAGCAGATCTGGGTATACAGAGATTCTGAAAGGAACCTCAACCTTGCAAACCCTTCCTTATCACAAAGGGTCTTAACAACGACTGAAGGAAATACAGAGAAAAGAGATAAATACTAGGATTGCCATCATTGGCTTATTTTCTTGATACATGGGTAAATACATGGGTACCTTGTCTTACTTTGGGCCGTAATCTACTAAGTACTCAATCTATTTTTCATGCAACACACACAAAAAAAAAAAAATTCAAGTACGTTACCTCCTATTACGCCGATGCAAAGGTAGAGGTAAACGATGGAGTTCCCAAAGGAAGCGGTTACCATAGAGACTCCACACAGCAACCCCCCCAGCATGACAATTGGCCGGCTTCCAAAGTGATTGACCAACAAACTGCTCACCGGTCCTGCGAACAGAAGGAGAGAGCACATAAGAATTAGTGTGTTACATGTGAACACAAACAGCAGTTTTTAATAAACTTGCCTACGTCTGGTGATAAAGGATTCACACGACACTGCGAGTTGCCCCTCTGGTTCTAAACCAAGGGCAGGAGGAGATCACCACGGATGATGGAACACCTCTAAACTTTAGCATCCACCGTGAAGCAACTTGACGACTCATTATGCTCTCACCATATAATGTAAAATGATCAATCAGCAATTAAACAGCCTTTTATATGCTGTCAGTCTTCCCTTCATTCGTAACCTTGCCTGAGAGAGTGACATTGCACCGTAACTCCTCCTGGTGAAAACCTTCTTTCCTCTCCTTGCAATAAAAGACCAACCGCTTAAATATACATTTCGCTTAATTCATATGGAAAAATTACTAGTATGCGTTGGCAAGAGCTTCCGTGTGGATGGTGATAATTGCAAACAGTGCAGTGAGTCATAATGTCACTTCTTGACGTTAAGCGCATGTTTAACAAGGCTGATGAGTCATTTCTCATTGCACCAGCAAGCACATTTGCACAAAGAGGAAATGTATGCGGTGTTAAATGGTGCCAACCAAAGGATTTTTTTTTTCTAGAATAATATCTAAGCTTCCATTCTGCAAATAGAAAAGAAAAAAGCAGGAGCACATGGGACGAGCTAACAAACACATTTAGGACCACGTTGAACAGTTTTGACCATCAAAAGAACACAACCTCTTAATGTAATGTGTAATCACAAACAAATACACTACCAGGACACAGGGTTGCAAATAAGGATTATACTTTAACAATTACAATGCTCATCCTTTTCGCAAAAAAATCATCTCTAAAAATGTCCAAAAAGTTCCTGCTTGGTTTTATCAAAAGTGTGAAAAGTTATTTAGTCTACGATAAAGTAAAAAAAAAAAAAACAGTAGGTCCTCCCAATTTAGAGTCTTAAAGCAGTAAACGTTTTTCCCTTTTGCCTGAAAAATGAATTAGTTAGTTGATTCATACTTGATGGACTAAATGTTTCAGGTCTTCACCTTTCAGAGAACCAAGATGTCGAACAAGCTGCAAACCCGGATCCTCGGCTCAAGGACTCACTGACTGAGCTCTGTGATTATCGTGCACGGATACCACAATTAAGATTGGAAAATACCTCCTTGCTTATTAACTCGCTTACATCAATTATCTTCTTTTTGCGCTTCAAGCTGGAAAAATAAATGTCCTCAACAACCGAGCCCGCTGTACAACTTTAACTACTGTACACGGAATAAAAATATCCATCCCAGTGTCTATATAGTTAACCAGGTGCCTAAGGGGGTCAAAGATGGATCCCGTCTCTCTCCCATTGTAACCGTGTCACAATAGGGCAACTCCCACACCACCACCATTCTTCTTCCATTATAACTTCATAATTCGGGCTGCTCGAGTCAGAGGTTCTCTGGAAAAGGCTGTCATGTCTCTCCCATGAGGAACTGGTGGCAGACCCAAGTGTGCTGAACCTTCCTCTGATATATTCCCCCTGTCTCTCTCCTCCACTGGGTGACATTGCCAAGGACAATATGATAAAAAGGCGTGTGCCTGAGCCACAGTGGAGGGGAATATTTCACCAGTTCGGCCTCTCTGAGTAGCGTGCAGGCGAGTCGCACGCCCTGTTGTCCCGTAACCTTGAAAAGCAGCGGCTGATAAACTAAACCTGAAGAAGACTTCCACATTTTTTTATTTTTGTGGTAGAAACAAAGAAATGTGTGTGCTGAAAGCATGTAGTGCCAACTAGAAAAGCTATGGGAGGTAGGCAAAGGAAGCATTACCCAGCAATCTACCAGGAGTGTTTGTTTGCAGGTGTATTAGACCGGCCAACGCAGCACCTTGCCACAACCCATTGCCTTCAGTTCCAAGAGTTGAGGATACAATGCTTTTGCTGAATGGTCTGTTTGCGCAGCCATTCGCACGGTGCATTGACAAATAAATCCTATTCAAATGCATACGGAGACCGCATGTTGTTCTCCGTTTGGACACAGACGTAGTCGCCAAAAGAGACTGAAGAGAAGACGGAAAGCGCGTAAAACCTCACAACATAAAATCGTCCTTATTGTTCCTGACGCTTACCAAATCTTTTAAAAACATTCCCCCTCTTTATAAGACTATTACATTAAACATCACTATTTGGTTTGTCGGCCTGACGGCTCAGACGTGTTGGACCTCTGAAATAATAATCAAAAGCTCTTTCTCAGTGCTCATTTTGGGAGTCACTGTCTTGAGGAGTGCAAGGCCAGAGGAAAAGCAGAAAGTGTCAAGCGGGCGGACACAGATCTGATAAGGATGAGATTTAGATACACACCAAGCGCCATACAACACTCACGCTTTGCTCATTATGTTCACATTGTTAGAAGACCACACGTTGCATGCGATTGGATCTTGTGTTGTGGCGAGAGGACTTGCTCCTCCTCGACGCCAGTTTAGGGCCAATAGAAATCTTTTCTTTTCTTTCTAACAAGAAATACAAAATGTAATGTTTTTCCTTATGTTAGTCGGTTGTTCTTCCGGCCTTCAGACCGACAGAACTGCTCCTGCCTTTGCAAACGCAGCGCTTATACCCGACCTGTGATCGGACAAATAAATTTTGTTCACGATCTCCCCCCCCCGCTGGTCTACCAAGCCACTGAGACCCACTTTGTATGAAGTGGCCTTAGATCCCTTTACACCAAAAAAAAGGTGCACGCATTTAGTGTTAAACCAGTTTGTTTAAGGAGGAAAAGCAAAACTACTCATAGAAGACTTAAAGCAAATGTTGTCCTGTGTTTCTATGGGCCTGCTAGAAAAAAAGTTGTCTTTAACTTTATGGGCGCTAATTATAATGATTGAAAATTACGTGAGATTAACGTAGTTTTCAGCTAAGTGTGTGAAAAGACTTTAACGAAAAATGACCCAGGCCATTCGATTTAAAGCGAATGTTGCTCAGCTTGAAGTCGTCACTGACGACGTCAGAGTTGATTGTTAGATTCAAGTCAGGTGATTAAAACTCGCTGACATCACGCCTCTTGTTAGGCTCACTGATACTATTTCCGTGCGTTCGGCAACTCATTTAACAATTACACATCTTCTTCAAATGAATGTACAGCCAAGTGGTTCTCAGCACCGAAGACGTCTTATGTTGTTCTTTTCATTTAAAACATGATAAATGATATTACCGAGTAATACACAACACTGACTTTCTTTTTTACTGGCGTTAACGTACAGACAGTGAGCTGGCCATTTGCTTTCTTGTATGTTATATTTATGACGAAAATCAAGTGATGTATCAAAGGTTTAATTATAAGAATGCAGATCAAATTCCTGTGTTACACGCATGTTCGCATGGAAACAATCGTCAGACTTCATCATCTGGACAGACCGGTTCACGCTACGCTATGAAGCTGATAGGAAATGAAGAATTGAAGCAGGGGTCCTCTGCTATTAGAGCATTTGAAAAGACGAAGAAACCCAAAATTGGAGGCTTAGATTAGGCCTCATTACGACACGGCCTTCTTCTGCCAGGACTTTTCCTGCACATTGCTGAATATCCCGACACATAAATGCCACCTGGAGTTCCCCAGGATGTTCTAATAGAGTAAAAAGGTGTAAGAGTGGTTGCTTATTTGGTCCCAGCGAGTCCTACTGATACTGATTATCTCTCCAACAGACGAAAAGTAACAGAACGAACTCACCTCCTGCATACATGACAGCCAGCATGATGGAGGAGATCCATGCTATTTCACTGGAGCTGGCCTCTAGGTTTTCTTGGATCTCTTTGAAGAAGATGGAGAGGACTTTGGGCGTGGAGTACGCAAATCCGATAGAAATGTGGGCCCCAACCACCACCATCCATCCCCAACCACCATCCAGGGGTTTGTAGCCCAACTCATTGGCCGGAGCAGGGGGCATGATCCTGTTCAACCAGAGGGAAACAGGTGCTGGATTGTTAAACACAAGGACTTTTTAAAAGAAACGTTCCATTTGACATCTACCGCCTGTAAAGGTGAATTTGAAAAGATTGTTTGAAGAGTGACTATGTAACTTCCAAATGAATTGGACTAACGTAAAACATGACCTACCTGTGACAGGTAACTGAACCTGAGCGATGCTGTGAGGCTCGTTTACGCAACGTAAGAATATATATTTATAAAAAACACAAAGCTGCGACTGAATAAGCAATATTTCATATGAATTGGGTGAGAACTACTGAATGTGAAGAAAACCATGAAATAGTCACTGTTATGAAAGACAGGGCGTTGAGCCTGTAAGCAAACGCATGGTCGTATTCCTGAATAAACATTTATAATGCAAATACGGAGCCCAACACGCTCAACGAGTTACTCAATGCAGTCACGCGGTGTATTTGACTAAGTTCTATTCGCGGACATGTAGGAAGCGAATGGACACGGGAGGACACGCGCTACACGTGGACAACTGTTGGAAGAAGTCGCACAAAGTCGCCGCAAAGTTAAACGTGTAACAGCATAAGCTCGCGCGGGTATCGATCAGAGTCCACTTTACCTTTCACCGGGCAGGACGTTCCTCTCGCACAGTTGGAGACCATAAAGGTTTCAGCCCACTCTTTTATTTGACGTGGTCACGTGTCACGCGTCTGCCCTGGTGACGAGCGGGGGAGTTCCCCCTGCGGCGCGGTCACGCGTCAGATGACGTCCAGAGGCGGGAAGAAGACAGTCAGGACGGCGAACACAGTGACGCGTTTTCACTTTTAATAGTTTTATTTTCAAATTATGTGCAATGTGAATTTCACAGTTGAGCTCAACCGACCGCTATAACCCGAAAAAAAAAAACCCAAAAGTAGACAAACCAGCGGAAAGGAAAGCATGAACACGATGGAATAGCACCCATAAGTGACACATGTGGAGGACCAGACTCCCGGACACGGGAAGCGGTTTGTAGCATCGTGGTACTCGGGACGCAACCAGCTTCTCACTTGATCCGCAATGCTTAGTTGTGGTGGGATGTTACAAAGAAAAACTACTGAGCTGGAGGGGGAAGGAAGGGGGCTTTTTTTGTCAACAAATCAGGTTTACTCTACAATAACTAAATAGGCAAATATATAAAGAAAAAAAACAGTCACTGGAAACAAAATAAGGAAATCACATCTATTTTTTTTTCAAGTTATAAAATAAACTAAAGAGAAGTTTTAAAAAAAAAAACTGTGCAAGTACAGCAAACCTATAGTACAGTATATTACACATAACAAAAACACTTAAATACAGTACTGTGTATCAGTAGAAATCCTGAGAGTTCTCCGGTCCTGGTTCCCAAATGGCCGTCTGTGGACACGTGGATGTAGCTCGAACCTTCTCGCAAACACCCCTTTTTGAGAGCCTTGTTCAAGCCGGGCCAATAAAATGAGCTCCAAGTCCGTCAACAGTGGATCTTCTCTTGGAGAAGTTACATCACATCCTCAAGTCCTTACTGAATGTGACTCTTGTGGTATTAACATCCATTCAGATCTCGGAGGTGATCGCTATGTGGGCTTTTTCGTGGTAAAAAGGGAGTACTCTTTCAAAAGAAAAACACCAGAGAAATGTGTAGTGCAAAGATGACACAGGAACCTGCATGAGGAGATCGACGGCACGGAAAAATATCACACTTTTCACAGGGAACGCCACTCGGTCGTGGTATTAATTCTTCTATACAAGATTGTCAAAAAAAAAAAAAAAAAGCAGCACCAACAATTTGTGCCCTCTGCGTGATGCCGTGTAAAGACTGACCCATGGCTTTTCGATGAATTCCAGCACAACCCCCCCCCCCCTACTTTGTTCATACAGTCCGCTTGTTCGGGGGGTTCGCTGAAGCTCGCAGTGTGACACTGAGTAAGACCTTTCAGATGTTCTTCATCGGGAGGAGCAGGTTTGTCGCCCCCTTTCTTTTTTTTTCCAGCCACAGGCACGTCGGCGTTGCAAAATGATCCGCACTAAATTCCGCGTCACTTCAAGCCTGCACCCATGCAGCAGCCACACAAACCACCGGGACTCACGCACACGACACCATTAAAGCACTTTTACTAAAAGGTAATATTAAGTAATATAGTCCGATCACAGTTCCATGACTTATTGCTACTACAAAAAAATCGTTCCAATGTTCAGATCAACAATAACAAGACCGTAAATGCTTTTTTTTCTTGGGCATTTAAGAGGAAGGCTCTTCCAAATGATTATAATCAGATGTCAAAAAACAACCTCGACAGAGGTCGTTGCTTTCGCTGAGCTTTCAACGCGGTCGCTTAATCAACACTGTGGCCTGAAAATGTCCCTTTTCTCCTAATCAAACAAGTTTCTGAGGTAAGCCTGTTGGTTGGTCTGAACTCTTCACTTAGTGTTGACACAAATTTGACTCCGTCCTTATTTCTCCAATGTGGAGAGTGAGTATTCTTACATTTCACTTAAGTTGTCTTTCGCATGTGACACAAAATGGATGCCAACTCAAAGAGCGGGGAGGTGTGAGCCCCCACGCAGCCGGAATCCCAAACAAAGCGTAAAATAGCTCGGAAGCCACACGTAGTGTATCGTTTGACACACTGAAGCATGTTAAGGAAGCGGGAGCATGAAAAAAAACAACAACAACAACATACTAGCTTCAAACACACCCAAGTAAATCAAAGCAACACTTCAAATTAAAACGTGGCTATAAAAGAAGCTGACGGGTCTTGAGGACAGAATAGGAAGAAAAACACACAAACCTCAGAGCCAGCAAACCAACTAATGAGCTATGGTACTCATCTTACCCGTATGAATATATAGTTTATATAGTTATTTATAGAGATTTATATAGATTTTCACGTTATGCTGACACGTAGCATCTTTCTCCAGAGGGCACTTTTATCTTATCTAACGCCCTCATCTGCATGCTCATCACTTGTAAAAACCCTAAGACAAAGAATGGAACAACATGGCTCAACAACAAGCAAAAAAAGGATAATTGCACTTATGATTCATTGAACGGTTTTGTTAAACAAGCATCAGTGTGGGTAGTTGGTGCTGTCTGGGGAAAAAAAAAAATACTGCAATCTTTAAAAGCACCCCATTTTGATCGCATTAAACCAAAGTTTGAACGACTTAAGACTCAACCAAAAATGGTCACACACACCAGGCACAAGGCGGGCAGGACCACCCAACTCCCTCTGCCTCACGGGGCGGCTCCACACAACCAGCCACCTCAAAGCACTTTCTGCAGACACTGCGGGTAAAGTTTGGCCACCACACATTCAAAATGGCGACCCAGATCCCAGAGGCGGTCGGGCGTCTCGTAGACTTTGGTCCATAGGTCCTGCTCGTCGTTGTACTGGTACAGGGAGTTCTTTCGGCTGGTGCGGAACACGTGCTCCTCCACCATTACCTGCGTGGCTCGCACAAACAGGTGCAGCTTGCCCTGCAGCAGCATGGCCTTTATGTACGGGCTGGTGGCTTGGTCAAAGGGCAGATCTCTCTTGCGGCTCCATGCGTTCTTCTCAATGTCGTAAACCTCCACGGTGAAGGTGCGCTGGTGGTTCCTGCAGATGCCGGCGATGTAGTAGATGCAGTTCTTATGCAAGGCGGCCAAACCCTGGCTGCGCGGGACACTCATCGGGGGGAGATGACTCCAGTAGTCCTTACGGGGGTCGAAGCAGAAGAAATATTCACCTGCAAGAAAAGGTATGAAATTTAGAGCTTTGACATCCTTCGTCATGAGTGCTTGTCAAACAAATACTGTACACATTTTCCAAATACTTTGAATAAATGAGAAAGAGGACACCATCACAAAACGTTCAGCCACACCGTTAAGATCACTTAAGTTTCACCGAGGCAGCAGTAACTGACCTTGGAGGACGTAGATGCGGTCCCTGTACTCCACGGCGCTATGAAACTCCATGGCCGCTGGCATAGGACTGACTGCGGTCCAACAGTTGTCCCTGGCGTCGTAGCACTCCAGTGACTTGAGCGCATTGCGCCCGTCCCCTTCATATACTCGGCCTCCCAGTGCATAGAGCTTCCCACAGCAGTGCACCAGCCTGCAGCCGATCCTGGCTCTCAGCAGAGGCGCACGCGGCAGCCAGCGGTTGCCCGCGTGTTCGTACTGCCAGAAGTCGCTCTCGGCCCGGTGGTCGATGGACACTTCGCTGTTGCTCGGCCTGTAGCCTCCGGCGATGAAGATGTCGTTCTCCGAGGACACCAGGATACCGACCTCCCGGAGGTCGTTGGGGGGTTTGCAGAGCTTGAACACCCTTCCCGTGGCTGTGTCCAGGCAAGGCACCGTCTGCTTCTTCCCTGAGTGTTTGTGAGCGGCATCGAAGCAGATGACCATCTCAGACGCGGTCATTCCCAGGCGCTGGGGGCAACCGTTGGTGCCAGCGAGGCGGGCTTTGGCCTCAGCAGGGTCCTTAGACAGGGAGAGGGCACAAGCAAAGGGGGCAGGTATCCGATGGAGGAAGGCCTCTTCCAGCAGCGGCAGACGGATGCACTGGGAGAAAACCTCACGTAGGTGGGCCTGACGGCCAGACAGGTCATGCTCCAGCCAGCGGACAATGCTCTCATAGACGTGCTCTTCTTTCTCCACGTTGAGGTCATCATTGTTCAAAATGCTGACCAACTGCTCCTTGGTCATCTGGAGGAACTCTTGCTCCCATGACACACACAAGAACTACCACAAAGACATAAAATGTTTAAATTATTAACAACTAAACACACTGGTCACATAGACAGCCCTGTTACAAGAACAAAATAACAGAATGTCTTGAAAGTGTAATATGGTGACAGCAGAAATAACCATGAATTCACATCCATTCCTGTGCTACCGTTTAACAGACCTTCTTGCGTATGTAGTCCTGTGAGCGTTCCCTGAGCTCCTGATGTTCATAGGCATCGGCAAACATGTAGACCCCAATACAGTTCTGGGGGTCAAGTCTGCTGATCATGAACTGGGCACACTGATCCTGTAAGGCAGGAATCTGGAAAATGCTGGCTGCAGTGAACAGGGCCTGGACATTAGACTCCGAGAGCATGACCCTGGATGTGTAGGCATAGTCTAAGACGAGGTTCATGGATTCAGATTCCACACCAACAATTCGGACCTCGCGCTGGCTGCTCTCTGTAAGGCCACTGGTGAACATGGACCTGGTGGTGACGGAAGACAACAAAAAAAAGCTATGACTATACGAATCCATTTTCAGGCAGCAAAGACGTTAGGATTCACACACTGCTAAAACGTGACACGGACATTTGATCTTAATATGACATCAATTGTGAAGGATATGTGTAGGATACAAACATTCGTAAACATCCAAAATGTCTTACCTAAAATACGGGCTGATTGCTGCAAGGACATTTCGGTGACATGAGAATGTCATGCCATGGTCCACTTCTACCACGATGTCCGTGAGCTGTGCTTCATCGTACAAGGCTTTGAGCTGCTGAAGGATGTTACAGGCATGAACAGCGTCTACCCCGTTGTAGTTGGTGCTTGGAGGCGTCCCATTTTGTACTTGTAACAGCTTCCCAACCTCTAAACAACACAGCAAAGAGAGGAAAAACATCACAACAGAAATTGTGTAAATAAAGAAGACGTGATGTTATACAGGCTCTAAAAGTTCTAGCAGGTAAACAGTCCTGACTAATAGCATTTTGTGACCCTTCTTTCAATCACTTTTATAAAGCCTTGGTCAAACAGAAGCATTGACACGGACTGTTGGTCGCATTACATCGACATTTCAACACCGGATGAGTTAAAAATGATGCAGGTGTTTAGAAATACTGACAATGTTGAATGTACATATAAAACATGATGGGGAAAAAATGTGTTTCAAAATATTAATGTAAATGAATACGGCGTGGGTGTTTTAAACTGAAAAAGGAACAGTATCAAATATGGCCTCTAAATATATACATATTTTTTTAAAACAATGATCATTCACGAATTGCAGTGACCACAAATCAATAATAGATTTGTTTTCTAGATATATAAATGACTAACGAGTACAAAAAACACCTCATTTCACACAGGCCCCGTGGACTCGCGGCTTCAGTCCCCTTATAGTAGTGTCTGCAAAGTAAACACGTTTATTATCACTCGTGTTGTGGGAAGTTATTTAAGGGCCGGCAGAACGTCACGACTCTGTAACTTGTCACTATATCGCCTAATACTGTCCGAAGCTTAGGAGCAAAAAAGTTTTCCAACAAATACCTCGTGTTATACGACGCCAACTCACTGACAGGACAAAAGGCTCGCGATGAGTGCATAGAAAACTACTGTGTCGACCGCTGGTAGCTAGCTTGCTAACGTCTCAAATGGACCGGTGGCCGCAGTACCGTTGGCCCTGTGGGTGGATAACTGGACTGAAAGGCAACTGGGGGAGTGGGAACAATTTGCTGATAATTCATCGTCGGAAAATGTCGGGACTATCAAGAAAACAGCTAGGCGTACCGTAACGTTAGCCAGTTGACAAGCGAGCGTAACTTTTAGCAGACAGCTAGGCACTAAGCTAACATTAGCAGGCTTTCTTTGACACAACATTGCGAGATTTAAAGGGCGAGAATAACTGCAATGCTTCCAGTCCTAACATTTCGGACTTTCAGAAACGTGACATTGTTTAGCACCATTACCAGGAGATTAATACCGAAAACGGTAACTAAAACAACACTTCTCTAACCTTTGTCTCTGGTCACAAACAAGTGTTTACACAATCAGCTGTGGGTAGCAAGCTAACCGGCCGAAAGTTAGCTTTAGACAGCTAGCTTTAGCCGCATAGCGAGGCTAACGAAAACCGACACTTTTGACGACTCGTTTAGAGCCTGACCTCTTTTAACAAAAATGCGACATGTCACGACTCTCTCTATCGGTCTATAACACTGCACTCCACGAACATGCGAACACACAAATTATAACTTTAGAAGGCGTTATTTCATTCTGATTACTACACAAAACAATGAAGATTTTTGCGAACCTCCACTGGCAGCCATTCTCTCCAGTCTATCTCGGGGCAGACCGAGAAACGTCAGAGGGCACAACGGGGCCCCGGAAACAAGGAGCAACCAATCACAAGAGGATCCCGGATCTCGCAGCCAATCATATTCTTTTCATCTGGGACAGGAAAAGTTGTTAGTCGTGTGGACAAATTATGCACATTAAGAGAATAACAGACTGCATTCGACGCAACGTTTGTCCTCCCAAAAGATCAGAGCAGCGAATCTAAAAAGGTGGATGCAGAGTAATCTTCTCCCTGAAAAGATTCATTCCAACGCCGTGGGTCCCTTATTGCTTTGTCATATAGTCAAGCAGGTATGTCAATTGTTATCAGCAAAAGTGAATGTGAGTTAAAACTATAAAGCCAGCCAATATATAAAATCATTTTTAATCAATTTATTAAAAAAATGTATTGGTGTTATTATATAGAGTAGTAGTTTGCTGGCATAGAGTTTGCTCACGAGGGAATGCTATTTTTTTGTAAATTATAGACCTGCTATAAAGTGTCATGAGATAAAGTATGTTATTCTAATGCTGTATAAAATGTAATTACAGTTTTCAAATAATTATTTTGTGGGGGGGGGGGTTTGTTGGTGCATTTCAGTGGTCTGCTTGCACACGAAACCAGTCACACTTAGGATATATTTTATTTCTACTGAATTAAAACAATTAAAGAAAGGTGTTCTCTCCTCCTCACAGAGTCCCGGAACTTTACTCATTCAAAACCTGAAGACTTCAGGTGACATTGTCTTTCAGTTAATACATTTTATCTGGCACTTTCTTTCAGGAATTGCCTTTCAAATGACACTTATCGTCGCATATTATCGTTAACACGTTGTCAACTTCAACACTTTTCAGTGCCTTCACCTAGACGATAGTTCAACCTTTGTTCTGGACGAACTTCAAACTGTTCATATTAATTGTATTGAATTCCAGCTATATAAAAAAATGCAAATTTTCTCTATAAAAGTTGGTAGTTAAATTATTGTAAAGATGAATCTAACATTGTTTACTATTCAGATTTAGTCGAGCAAGCACCAATAAAAGAAGTGTCACCGTTTGAACTTTTGACTACATGCGTTGGTGATCCTGATAGCTTTTTACTACCAATCACAGCCCAACAAAATAGTGAAAGCAGCAGCAGGATTTTATGAAGATATTATAATACAATAAACTTAAAATAATGCAGCCAGAGACAACACTCTTGGCCAACATTAGGCCCACCTTGAATTCATTAGGCAGTAATGAAATAATAAATTGTTGCAAACCTTAGCACATTTACTTCAGCCAAACCACCAGTGCTGTGCAGGCCAGAGATGATCTCTACACTACATAGCACTGTAAAATGATAGAAGAGGAGAGAAATAAAAGTACAACTGCAATCTAAGCAATCGATTTCACTTTTTTCTCCAATTTGTACCCATTCAGCCACAGTGCCGCCTTTGAAATTGAGCCTCCCTACTGTTGAATGAGAGAAAAAGGCTTCCTGGATTTGTTGTTATTTGATGAAAACTCTGATTTCTGTTTACCTCTCCACAGATGTCCTATTTGATACATTGAAACTGATCAGCCAATATCTGCACTCTCTGAACCATCCCCATCTTGCACCAAATTGTCTGGCCTGCACACCAAACCAGAGGTTTATTATAATAGTGTGCGTTAACAATATGATACTGGTTCAGCCAGAAATGGCTGTAACCAATGAAAGAATATTTAAGAAGAAATGGGATCATTGTTTTCTCCTCACCCTCAAATCCAGGAAAACAACCGCGCTTTCTGATTATATGTTAAGCGTAACTCTTATTTAATGGTCCTAAGTGAGGTGAAAATGTCTATCGCTGTTGATATCTAAATAACATAGATGATGTGCTTTGTATAATATGGATATGCACAAGTAAAAGGGTTTGCGTTTGTACTAAGTGTTCTCATCTTCTCTACAAGTATCCTCTTTTGTTTTGAGGCCAATACATGTGATCACGGGAGGATGAGAGAGAGACAGTGCGGGGGGTTGAACGGTGGAGTTGCATGTTTGCAACGTTTGAATTGCAGAAGAGAGGAAGACACGATATGGGATGCATGAGGAAGAGGAGGTAGGGGGTGTAATTGTAGTTTAAATGAGTGTTTTGTCAGAGATGGAGGTAATGGGTTATTATATCCCTGTATAAGAATGCCTGCAGATGTTGTAAAGAGCCAGTGGCTCCCCCACCCCGCCGCTCAGGAGGAGACAAATAGGAGCTCTATGGGAGGCTGCTGTAAATACCGACCTGATCCTTTCTCCATGTTTAAAAAGTCCATTTCTTGTCCTCAGACCTTCTGTCTTACTAACTCACGCAGAGCAGCAGATGAGCAGATAAACTGAGTCAATAGCAACTGTAGTGGACGCTTAGCACCTCAACCTGCTGAGAAAGTTGTTTGCTAATGGGAGTTATATCGCTGCATAACTCTGGATTTGGACGTTTTGTTGAGGGCTTTGTTGATTGTAAATAAATCCCGGATGTAATGTAATGCCTCGTTCTAAAGGATGATTTCTTGCTATGGAAACGCTGTACACTGAATAGGCAGCCGCTTAGCTTAGCTTTGCATACATACTAGAAACAGGGTAAAGAGTCAGCATGGCTTTTTTTTAAACATCCACAAATTAAAATGTTATATATATATTCTTTGTTTTGTTTAATTTAATTTGTATAAAGAACAAAACTATGCTGTTTTACACGCAATACTTATTGCTAGATAACAGTAAATCCCTATAGAACGGCAAATGGTTTTGTACACAATAATCAATACAAAAAAATATCTTTAGTCTAAACCAACTGAACTTACTGCTGCTACTTCATGCGGATGTGAGAGTGGTATTTAGAAGAAAAAAAAATTTAACTTGCAGCAAGATAGCATATAAAGCTACATCCCAAAATGTTGAACGAACCCTTTAAATTGTTTGGCTTGATCTTTCAGAAAGAAATGTTTTTCTTTTCCTGTTTTGAAACTGTGCCCGAAAACGTAACCGAACCGACGCCGATGGCTCACAGCTCACGTGTCAATGTTCAACTTTGTCTGCCAAAAATCACAGCGACGCGCAGGAAGCCCAGGCTCGCTTTGGATCTAACTTTGGGGACAATCTCACTAAGCTGCTGCTGGGTGACCGTGGATCATCTGCCCTTCAAACTGTAGAAGCAAACAAATAACGCTGCGCTGCCTCCCGCTGTGAGGTCGACTCATTTGTTCCACTTGTCCAGCTGATGGATTTGTTTTTTAAAAATTTGGCTGTTTTTAGCCTGCGCTAATTAGTTAAGGGAGAGAAAAAAAACTTGCACTCCACACATTTTTTTTGACTTGACGAGCTTTTATTTTTTTTTCTCTCTCTCCTTCTGAATCGTTCTCCTGAGGTCTTCTTCACAGACCTGTGCGTCCACTGCACGGTCGAGCCGGAGGGTCCGGGGGGGGGGCTCAAGACGCCCGGTGGGGAGGTCTTGGGCTCTAACAGCAGAATCGGATTAGAGGACTCCCCCTGGTGCGTGCCGCCGTGCATCCGTGTGTGAATGTGGGGGCGCGGGGGGGAGATCCATCAGCAAATCTGATTGCACGCAGAGAATTCTGAGGTCCCGGCAGAAAAAAGGCCGGGATGGGGGCTTTCCACCCCCCCCATCCTCTCCTCCACTTTCCTTTTACATTATTTCAGGCCCCAGGAGAGTATTCTCCATCATGTCAACGTAATCTAGCACACGGAGGCAATCATGCAAGCTCTCTGGCCTCAGGGCTGCCTGCTCGCAGGAGAAAATGCAACTTTAGCACTTAATCATCTCACCCATAGCTGCCGCACCAGTCCATGGGAAGGTTTTCCACACAATGTGAAACCAGATCCCTCACGGTGGGCATGCTGTTGTGCATCCCCCCCGTATCCCGGCTTCCCATTTGAAGATCAGCAGATTCTCTGCCCCGGACCTGTGCTTATATGTCGATTCAGCCCAGGCGGAAAAAGACCTCAGTTGGGTGCGATGTTACCTGCCGACCCCTGCTGAAACACTTGGATCTATGAATCCCATCTCCTCACTGAGGACTGGGGCGACAATCAGAGTCGTTTTTTGTGTGATCAATGCCGTGCCGCTGAGAAAGACCATGCATGCCCGAGCAGAGTGATATGGGCCTCTAGTGACGTTGGCTTACTTGCATTTATAGCACATGTTACCGTTTTATGTTATAAGGCCACAGAGCTCACATTTGACAGGAAACCGATAAAGAAAAGTAAAATTGTGTTGTTGTCCAAGCAAGAGACAGAAAAAGTAGTATGTGTTTGTGTGTGTGTGTGTGTGTAATGCATAGAAATGGACAGGGAGGTGTGTGTATTATCAAGTGATTGATCGGCTGCACGTATGGCTCCAAGGGAAGACATCGGGAGAGGTCAAACAAGACCGTTCCAAATAGACCTGTCGGATTCAGCCGCGGGGAGGCCTAACTGGTTAGACAAGGGCGTTACCACAAGTGCCCTTGCTTTACTGTGTGTGGACCGGACAAGCCCATGTATTATTCACTGGTCTCACTGGGTGATAAATGGGGGGGGGGGGGGGGGGGGGGCTGCATTCCAAAAGCAATGGAATATTCACTAGTGCTTATCCCTTTTAATCCCATGACTGCAGGCCAAGTCAGTGAATTAGTGGCCAAGGCATAACAGTGCTGCTCAAACTGCGGGGGCAAGGTTTAACCGGGAGATTTATCCAACAGCTATTTGTTTGATGAATTAGCCGCAGACAGTGCGTTTGGGACGTATCTAAAAGGAACACGTGTAGGATTTAAGCGAAAGATGAATCGCAGTTATGACCACACACTGTATATTATCTGGATTCTTTTTTAAACAGCTGCACATTCATTAATTACTCCTCCCGGCGGCGTTTTATATCACATAAAAGCAAAGCTTTAGAGCTGGCTGATGGTGGTAATTTAAAACTGCGCCATCGTAATCAATTTTAAGGTAATACGTTGATGATTAAATTACACCGAGTCACAGTTATCACAGCAATTTGTTTTTATTAGATGTATTTTATTTAGGTCTTTAAAACACACACTGTATTCATTTTGACTGATTGGACTGCTTGTATTGAGTATGCGTGCATGTGCCTGCTTGCATGATGGAGATGTTTCATGCAGTATATTGAAAAAGCACTATTCCAGATGTGTGCTTCAGTCTATGGTTTCTTTTACGTTATGAAAAATCTGTTAACATTCTTTGCTTTTTTTAGTCAACAAACCCTACGGACGCAAACACAGACACCTCTGGAGGCCGCTGACGGGCAGTAATTCTGTTTCACTACTTTGGAGCCTATGAGGAGGACACCTTAAATATCAGCCCAGTCGATTGGTTCATACACAAATACATATTCCAGGGACAAAAAAATCCTCATGAAAACAACAAAACAGGCACAGAACATACGTGTACACCCTGGGAATTTAGGCAAAGTTCAGGTCACTGGTAGTATTATTTTTTGCTATAGGTATTTCCTTTTAGGCTATTATGCTCAGTCTCTTCCTACATAAGCTACACTCGTTTTGGTTTTCAGACCCATGACCACTCATTACCTTAAAGGTGTAAAATTGACTAAATTAAATCTATTCATTGTTGATCTTGGTCTTTACGAGGAATTGATGTATATATAAGTTCTCTCGCCCTGCGATTGGCTGGCGACCAATCCAGGGTGTACCCTGTCTATCGCCCGAAGTTGGCTGGGATGGACTCCAGCCCCCCCGCGACCCTGTGTGCAGGATAAGCGGTTTGACGATGGATGGATGGATGGATAAGTTCTCTCCTTAAGTAAAAAAGCAGTACCATAACTTGACAGCATTGTATGTAAAAGTACTGAATTCAATGTACACAATCTTCAAAGTAGCTTAAACTCTTAGAATGTATAGAATATATTCTAATATAGAGAAAAAAAAGTACAATGTTGTTATCTGATGAAACAACTTTCTCAAGTAGAAGCTCTGAAAGAACTTGAGTAAATGTTGTTTAACACCTCTGAGGCATAAATCAAAACCACAGCCCCTCAGTTTGTACACGGACGTCGCTGCATTTTCATGTACGTTTCCTTCAGAGACTGAAACGTGGTGGAGGAGAAACGCTCCACGGCGCTCTCTCTTCACCTGCTGCAGTCACATCACCACAACTTGTCAGAAGCAGAATCCTACAGTACGACTCTACAGCCGGTCTTTGCCCCCCCCCCACCCCCCCTCCCTCCCTCACACACAGAAACTGGATGTCTGCCACCTAGCTTTCTAGAATACTAATGACGGTGGTTAGCGAGTCAAACATGCTGACCCGAGGTGTGGTGGGGTTAAGTGCAGCCAGACACCGTCTGCCACCATAAGACTGAAAATGTCAGAGTTCATTCCCTGCGGCTTGGCTCGCCCTCAGTCGGTCGGGGCTGATAGCAAACTGCGCGTCTCGTCTCATTTGTCTAATTATGGAGATATTTCGGCAATGCACAATTATTTTGTTACACCACAGTCAGTGCAGCCAGATTGAGATGTTTTCCATTTATTTCAATTAGAGCAGACATTTTTTTTAAAACTCCTTCAAAGACTTACAGTAGTTTCACTGCTGTGTGTGCGTGTGTGTGTGTGTGTGTGTGTGTGTGTGTGTGTGTGTGTGTGTGTGTGTGTGTGTGTGTGTGTGTGTGTGTGTGTGTGTAAGTGCTCTAATATGAGGTATTCAACTCCAGAAGCCCCACATGAGGGAAGAGAGATGCCCCCCACCTCCCTCCCCGTCTTGTTTTTTGTTTCACAATGTCACTGAATATTTTTCAGTCCGCCGCTGTCTCCCATTTTTCTCTGCCTCTCTCTCCCCCCCACCCCCCACCCCCACCCTATCTGTCTCACTGCCGATCCCTCCACAGGTGGTGAGACCGGAAAAGAACTGAAAGAGATAGAAGAAAGGGGCTGATCCCCCTTTTCTGCTCCTCATGCCTTTCCATGAACATTGTGAGGGTTGAGCTTATCAGGCAATTAATGCAACTACTCGGGTATGAAGAGCCTCTACATTATGAACAAAGCCCATTCATGAGCTGGAAGATAACCCCTTTGCCTTTATTTGTGTCAGGGGGAGAGTAATTGCCCCCCCCCCACGCAACTAATCTAATCTATGCAACCGCTGTTCTGATGATCAACCTTTATAAGGAGGTATCCCCCATTTTTCTCAGTCTCCCAACTGCAGAATCTGGACCTCTGTGGTCGTATCGGTAGCACGACCACTTCGTCCTGGTGAACCTTACAAGCCGATTTGAGGACAACAGATTGTGGATGAAAAAGGTTGCATGAAGAGATATAGAAGAAAAAACTCACTGACTCAGGATAAAAAGGTCAAAGTTGTAATCCAAACCTACGAGAAAGGAACATGGTAATTCTAATTGAATGAAGAGAAAGACAAAATTAGGCATTATGAACATTTAACTGCGTCTGTTTGGCATTTTTATGTGTTTTTTATGCGATTGCTCAATTACAGGCGTAAAACACATTTGGAGCTGTAGTGAAAATTGACAGTTCTTTGATTCCTCTTTTCTCATCTTAAAGTTTTACGTCCTCATAATGCATGTTCCCTACCTTCATAACCTCAAGCGTCTCCTTCATTTCTGTTTCCCTATAACAGTATATTTGCCAAAATCGTGTTCTGATGAGTTCAAATTGAACAATTACTGAGTAAAAGTGTTTGCGAGAAGAATTTGAAAATGCCCCAAACCAGAAAATTGAAGCTGAGTATTTTTTTCTATGGAAGAGCAACATTGCCATCTATCACTGAGAAACTGAAATGCAGATGCACCTCAACAGCTGGCTGGCCTTGTCTTCCCTGAATCGGATGTTTCACATGTCTGCAGGTGATACAAACCACAACAAGATTCTTTTTACAGAATTCTCCAACCAATCCACACGTGTTTCTTTTTGTCTTCATGTGACAATAGCTTAGAAGATTGATTGACCTCAAGTGATAATCCCCAAAAATGTGTTTTTCCAAGTAAATAAATTGCATCCTAAACAGGTTAAACATGATGCCTCCATTCCACCACTCTGCCATGACGGTATACTGGCAGTGCTGATGCATTTAATGTTGCCAGCGTGGCTTTGGATGGGAATTCCATCGCCGTCCTGGGATTTATTCCTCAGGCCTGCGCTCAGGTGGTGTACAGTATTTGCATGGGATACGGTGATGCAGCCACATTGTGGAAATGATGATCCCGCTTTACTGCTGGTTCCGAAAAAAAACAGTGCCTCGTATGTGTGGATGGGATTTAAATTCCCCCGGCTGATTTAGCAAAGTGCATTTTGTTGAGAGTCTGTCTGCGTTAAAGATTGCAAGGCAGCGTGTTTGCTCTAGTGTCGGGATGGCAGCAGTGGCATCAAAGTGTGTGATGCAAGGCCCTTTTCTTTTTTATTAGGCTACATGGAAACATCCGCACAGTGAGACACACTCAGCGAATACCATAGGAGTGTGTCATTAGGACCGAGAGAGACGTCTTCTTCCTTAACCATCATTTCATGCATAATGTCACAGATGTGGATGCTGCGCTGCCCGATTGTTCTCTCCTGAATCCTAATTCCACATTCAGATTGGTTTATTTTCTGAGACGCCTCGGCAAATCATGCTCCTAATTAATCGAAATGATCCATCGATCAAAACTTCCTTATTCCCTTTCCGCTGCAATTTTCAAGGGTTTAAATGCGTGAGGCAACAGAAAGACAATCAAAGCAGAGAACCCAAAAAGGGGTATGGCTATTTCCGATGTTGCTTTTTATTACAACACTGTGTGCAACTCACTACAGAGTCTGCAATGCTATACATCTGCAGCAAATATTTTTGTATCAGGCTACCTCTCCTGCTCTCCTTTGCCTCCCTCCATCCTTTGCTCTTCAGCGCTAACAGCCCTTGACAGCCGGAGATGAAATAGAAATTTTGATATCACACACCTACAAAAAAAGGAGGGTTGACCTTTGATCAGCACGCCGTTTGATGTTATGACATGAAATTTGCATCACGGGAGCCCGGGCAGCGGACGCAAGCGCAGAGGGCTAATGCTAGGAGAGGGATCTGCGAAGGTCAAGGGCCTATTAGGAAGGAACAAGCCCTCAAATCCCACACGAGGGCCCCGCACAGCGTTTGATATCCAATACACAGAAGTAGAACAGAAAATTGAGCCCTGAGAGCAGAGCGATGACAGTGAGAGTATTCATTAGGTATTAGCCCGAGAGTGAACAGGGAAGAAGGGTGTTATGGAACTATTACGTGATACGATGTTGTGTTTAGAGCAAGACATTTATAACCTCTGTTGGTCAAACGAGATGATGCTATAACGGGCCTCTTGCTGCAAGTAAAATATGCTCATTTATTTAACCATCTGTGACACATTTCATACCTGAGCAGCTCTTTGCCAGAAATATAAGGGACGTCCTCTTTCAGGTTTGTGATGACACGGGACATTTCTGAGCATGTGGCATGTCCCATTTCAGTGGTGTCTGTTGATCTGTAGATAGCTGAAGCTGGTTAATTATTCAAGCTGGCACGTCGTATTTCACACGCGACGCTTCAAAAAAAAAAAAAAAAAACTCACATGCCCTGTCCATCTTTCACCTGGGCATCAGCTTGCAGCTTCATTACCTGCACAGGGCAGGTGAGGGGGAGGGAAGGAAAGTAAGGGGAAGGACAGAGGAGGAGAGAGAGAGTCAAATACATCAATGACAATTCATACTTTTCTATTGCTTTCTGTCTCTCACACACACAGACGAACACGCACACACATGTCATTTAACAGGCCTGCAGCACTATGTCAGACAATCATTTGATCTAATTTCAGGCAATATCATAATCTTTCTTCTGTCCTATAATCAATATTTCAGTTACAAGTTCAGCCCCACTTTAAAAGTGCAGTCGTGAGACACACCAAAGGGTTTCACAATAAAACATCAGTTTGTTTGGTTAGTTCATGATAGTTAACTCTTTGACCAATTATACATGGAATTATACATTCTTAAAATCTGTATTACTGTGTTAAAAGTTCCTTCACATTCCTGTAAAGCGGGGCTAAACGTTACCGTCCACATGCCGACAAAGGCCACAATGAAAAGGCAAACATGCTGCTGTTTAGCAGGTTTTGTTCACCAAGTCCACCATCTTCGATGTGTTAACATAAGAACATTTAATAAATACTAGTCACAACCACATCAATCATTTTGACTAAATTGTTGAGGGATCAACAAGGCGTTCTCAGGTGGTTGTTCATTCCTGTAGTCAATTTGATTAATGTAAAATGTCAAGGATAAATGTAAATCCACAGGAGTTTCACACTACACTGCAGGTGTGTTCTACGACGGGCAGTGTGAAATGTTCTGTTGGCTTGAGACGGTCTGTGGATGTACTGTATGCATGCTCTCTGTGATTGTTTGCATTTCTTAACAGCTGACCGTATGTCTCATCAAGACAAATTTCCTTCGGGACAATAAAAATCGATCTATCTAGAAGCGAACTCAGCAGACCGCCAAAGTCGATGGGATAGCTTGTAGATCGTCACTTGAGCTTGACCGAAGACTCTGTGAGGTCATGTGGCTGATTTTGTAATCAGTGTGGAGTTTAGAACCAGCACCACACCTACCGCCATTCACTACAGTCTACATAAACTCCTTTGTTGAAATAGAAAAAAGCAGATTTTTGTAGAATGAGCCCCTCAGATAATACAGTGTGATGTTATGCATATTTATTTATATGGCCTTAGATTCACACATCACAACACTCTGATTGCACCTTTCTGAGGACGCTGCGTCCTCACTCGTATAACTCATGGCTTAATGTGTTACCCACTTAAACCGTGATTTAGACCACCTTTGGCATTGTCTTGTTGTAATAACCCCCCCCCAGTCAAAATTAGCAATCATTCCACCAAGACAAATGTCCGCTCTGGTTGAATCAAAAGGTCAGAGTTCATTCTTTATGAGTCCCAGTAATCTCCCAGGAATGGTCCACTGAATGGCGTTACCTCACTCGCCATATTTCCTGACAGCAGCATGAGGTACGTCTTCTCAGGGCCGGCGTTTTTAAGATTCAGGAGTTTACTGGCCTGATCAATAATTTTGTTCTCTCTAATTATCTCACCGTCGCACTCATTAATTCTACTTTCAAGGCTCATTTCCAGCGTTGACCACAGAGCACCCGGAGAGATGAGGGTGAGGAGGGGGGAGGAGGGGGGGAGGAAAGGGCGAGGCCTGCTTCGTACTCATTCTCTGTCCGCCACTCTTATCGGAGTGTGAGACTAACTAGGTATTTGGTGGCCATATTGATACATTCCTCAGATGAGCGGCGCTTCATCGTCGAAGTAATCCATCAACCCTTTGCAGAAGAACTTCCTGTGGAACCCTTTCTGATTTAAAGATACATAACATTGAGAGAAATGTTGACTTGTGTCGTTATGGAGTCATTTTAAACGTCTGATTGGCACACAATTTCATGGCCATTCATAGCTCTTAGAAAATGTCCAAGACTTCGTTGACCCCCAATGTCTCTATATAAATGTATCCATGTTAATAATAGTCTATGCAAATAAAGGCTACTTTTTGAAGAAAGCAAGAAGTGTTCCCATCAGTCCCAAACGGAATCCCATTGTTATTCATTCATTATCCCTCCAGATTGTTATTCTCTAGGAATAGGACCTGTGTTTTCATGGGGGAGAGGAGGGAAGACGGGGGTGCAATGAGGTTGGCTGCCCGCAAATCCAGAGTGATGTGTGACGTTGCTAAATGTGATCGCCACCATGCCAACCTTTCCATCTGGGCAAGAGGCGCAGTTGCCAGATTGCCTGAATAATTTCATCAGAACCAAACAGCTGTCATCTCCCATCGACGGCATGTTCCCATTACAACACCTGGATATAGTGGGGGGGTGAAGAAGCTGACATCATCGCAGAATTACACGAATCGGGTTACAGCGCTTGTGTTGTAATCGTATCTGATTGGTGTTGTTAATGTAGCGGTTAGAATATGAACTGTGCGTGAGTCCCTTCCCTTAATGGCACCGTACGGGGCACACGTACCAAACTGCTGAGTGCAAAGGCAGCCCCCGAAAAAGAGGTTGTTTTTTTGTTGCTGACGCTGCTCAGACTCACTTTCTTTTATGCTAATTATATTATTATTATGGCTCGTGATTAGGAGTGGATCCACCAGAGGGTAGAGAGAGGTCAGTTAGTTAGTTAGACATTCAGCATCTAACGTGCTCCTCTGAATAACCTGGTCAGAGCTCAGCTGAGAACACACAGAGGTCTGGCACACTGATGCCATCTACTGTCTGTTCCCCCAAAAAGTGCATTTACAAAAATGATATTACCAACGTTGATGAGCAGTATTGCTTGTCCACACCCGGTGTTGCAAGATTTATTCAGGTCACAAAACTGCATTTTGTTGGTTTCACTTCCGTATGAGTCAGATTTTTCAATAAAGGACTAACAAGTTTTCCCTAGAAAGGGGAAGTGTCATTGGAAGTGTTGGTGAAACTGTTTCAGTAAGCGCGGCTTAAGGATTCTGAAGACCACGTAAACGTCTGGTTTTTGGGGAAAGTGCAAGAGAAGGCAATTGAACTGAAGTATAAGTGGTTCGGCGTGTGGATGGAGGAAGGATCATAAAGAAGAAAGAGGGCGAAGACAAATAGCGGAAGAGGCGGTTGGTGAGGAGAGGAGAACCAGCTGGGGTCGTACCTTGAGTCGGCATACAGCTGTGTTGTCTGGAGTCTAAGGCCGGGCCTCAACACGGAGCAGTTTCACGCCTCAGCTGCAAAGCAGTCAACTGGGAACCAGGGGGGGGGTAATAAAAAGCAGGAGCGGATGACTTTCTGCTTTTGTAGAGATTTTTTCCCCACTTCGAAGTCTGTTTCAAAGGTGTTGGACTCTATGTATGTACTGTATTAATCAGTGGCTCTTTTTTGTGTATTCTATTTAGCAAATATTGAGGGCCTGATCTGGACCAGGACAATAGGAACCAGATTGTTCTCTGTCGTCCAGCAGCACAGTCTGATTTCACAGACATTCTGGCCTGACTAACTGCGCTCATCAGACATAGAGGAGCTGTCTTCCTCCACAAGGGGGCAAACTCTCTCCAGTGTTCGGGAGTCCATGTGGACCTGCGCTAACCCGAGTCGCCAATACGGTCCGCTGCAGTTACTCAGGCTCAAGTGTTCGAGCCCGGCCTGCAGCTTGAGTCTGTCGTTCAGACGAGGCGTTCGAGTGAAGAGCGACTCTTTCTTTTCTTCAAAGTTATGCCTTCCTTTCCGTTCACCTCGGAAATGAATTTCCCACCCTGATACACAAACTTGGCTGTTTCATCCTTTTCTCAGTGATTTCTATTTTTTTTTTCTCTTCTTGCTTGAGGCAGGAAACAAACACAGGAGGTTTTGTGCTACGCTGCGCTTGGGATTGAGAACCCCCCCCCCCACCCCTCCAAGCGACTCAACTTGATGTTGGGAGATGTGACGGGAAACAGGTGTCACCCATGACCTTCAGTGCTCAAACACTACAGGCCTCACAGGCAGGGGTCCTCGGGGCAAGGGGGGGGTGAGGAGGGGGTCCGGGGGGGTCCTCCTCCTCCTCTCCTCTTTTTACCTCTTACTGACAAATATTAGTCAACCGCACACACTCACGTTTGTCATCAAAGATTATTTCCTCCAGAGTCGCTGAGCGGTTCGGGATTGTGTGTTTGTGTGTGTTTTACATCATTACCGCATCGGGCCAGCTACGCTACGTTTTGCCCCCCCCCACCACCCTCCCCCCACCTCAGCCCAACTCAGGAAGATGACCCCCGCAGACAAAGTAGGGAACACAAAGTAATAACCTCTAAATCCCGACGGCTGGCTTATGTGAAGCCGGAGACGATTGGGAAGTCTGCTGCTGAGAGGCAGCGATGATGTGGGAGCCGGCGGTGTCTGTGTCCTCAGCTTGTCTGTCAGCGCTGCTCCTATCGCCCACTCTGTTTTGCTCATAAGAAAAAGATTAATTCTGCAGATTATCTCCAATAAAGTACTCCCTGTTAAGTAGCAGTTGGGAGAAGTTGATGCCTTGTGCAGACCTGCAGGACGCGCGGTCAAACAGGGGTAAAGGACACCGGAGGCCCGTCGGCGTACGTCTGTGGTTTGGTACACCTGTAAACGCAGCGACGAACCTTCCCCTAAAACGAGGAGGGAAAAGGCAGAAGGAATGTAGGTGAAGAGCGATGAAACAAATATCATATGTCCAAATGTCAAGTCCAGCAGTCAGCTGAAATTGTGGAACCACATTATTGTATCTTTCTTGCTACAGTCATGCAGTTTAAAGTCTGATTGCATTTGGCCTTTCCAGAACTTGTAAAGACAAGACACTTACATATAAAATATCTGAACAAGTATTGCTAGAGTATCTAAGAGTACATTATTGTACCACTAGCAAATAAACACAAGGGTTATTGCTTGCGTGAATATAGAAATGATGTTTCATCCATTTCGTTTGACAGACAGTTGCATTTCTTTTAGAGCGACGGAAAAGAGAAGGAGGAGTAAGACGGTTCCAACTTCTCTAAAATGGAAAGTTTTTTACTGTATATTCCATAGCTTTGTGACCATTATCTCACCACGGATATGACCATAGAAATCCCAAACCGTTGGCCTGTTTATGGACTAATGGTTATCCTGGATGTGTGTCTATGGCATGAGCCTGACAGCCAACTGTTTGCCACTGAGGCCATAGTGACAGATGGCGACCAAATGCCTTTTATTGCCTGCCTTTACCACTTGTGTGTCCCGATCCCGTCAGTCATGAACATGGAGCTCTCTCTCTCTCTCTCGCCCTCTCACTCTACAAAGGCGGATCAAAATGAATGCAGAGATACAATCATTGATTTATGCTTTTCCATATTTAAACCCGTTGCATTCTGTATGCAAAATATCCACATGCACATTTTCTTCTGCATTGGTCTCTGCGTATATACGTGCACGCAAACTGTAAATGTTTGCGTGTGAGTTTGTGCGCTTTGGAGTGTCGTGTTGCTCCACTATGTGCTGACACAGCGCCTGGAGCTACAAGTCGCACCTGGTGTGTGAGAGCACTCCACCAGCTGCTGATGCTTGAATGTCAGACGCACACACACACACACACACACACACACACACACGCACGCACGCACGCTCTAACGGTATATTTGTTTGTTCCATTCCTTACAACACGTCTTTACATTGACATACGCTCCTTCGTGTCTCGCAATTGACATAATGCATGCATTCATATTTTGACATTCAGTCAAGTGCAACAAAGAATGAGCTATAAAGATATAAATTATCCCGACGACACACTCAGCCAAAATGTTCTGGTCGAAAACACAGCAAGTGCATTTTAAATGTCAACAGATGCATGAATATATATTTCGATATTCTGTCTTTAACCACAATGTACCTACACTCATCTTATTCCCCTTAGTATGCAAACTTTAATATAAACTTAAATACTGAAGTAAAAGTAAGGACCTTTAAATTCATATTTCAACATTTTGGGAAGTAATAATATTATTATTCTTTTTCCTGCTGAGAGTGACATAAGAAGAGTGATTTCGCTCCTCACATAATATACATCCAACATATTCCGAAGGTTTGGCCAACGATGAATAGTCCCTGTGTTGGATTATTTCATTTTACGACTCAGTAAACAGTAGTTAAGCACACTTTAACAGTGTCTTTGACATTGTGAATTATCCACCGCTCAGCCATCGTAATTCTTAACTTGGTCTCGTACTTCTAGTGGTTTTCCCAGACGCGGGTGTCGAGGTTCGTACCTGTGCACACAACTTTCCGCTGATACCACCACCACATCGTCCTGACCACTTCAAACAAGACAAGTGCGATCAAAGAGCGTCTAGACTCGCCTGTCAAACTAAAGTGCAGAATCGCCTGACATTTGTTTGAGATAAAAACAGGCACGTCACAATCCTCAATCAAACAGCAATTTGCCGAAAGTGTGTGGCCAGTGTTGGAGATAAGGAATCAAAGTTGATCCGGCCACCTTTGGGGCTTGAAAGGTGACGGTAGCAGAGCTACTATCACTTTCCCGCAATACGGGCTAATCTAATCAGTTGTTTTATTATAAAAACAGGCTGGAGGTGACGCCAGAAGCCCAACACTCCACAGATTAATCTCACATCAGGCGCGACGGGAAGCGGTCTATCTAGGAAGGAAAGCGGCACTTTCACTGAACGCACACGAGAGCGTAAATCTCTTTGTAGAGGGCACACAAAATGTTTTCTTTTGCTCATGCAGTTTTGATTCTAATTGAAAGTTTCCGCGTTTCTCTCGACTGCTGATTCACAGCGTTAGAATAAAGCTTTTTATCTCTTTTTCTTCAAGGGAATTTCCTCAACGCTCGGCTCTTGATAATAGGTATGCGTTTGTGGTGTGGCAGAGAGGAGGCCGAGGTGAGAGGCGAGGAAACCATCACACCCCCTTCCGAGATGGACAAGCCCCTATTATGCACCCTCACACCCCCCCTTCTTCTTCTCTGAGTGGGGGGCTCATAATTGGACCTTTATGCTGTGTTTGAATTCTTCGCCTGCACACACTTTCCCAGACTGTGTCCGGCCACCAAACAGATGGGGTCTGTATGCGGAGGACACACACACACACACACACTGGCCGCAAACATCCACACACACACACACACGCACAGTGCGTCAGCACACGGGACGTGTCACACACCCATGCCAGACCCTTCTCATGCCCTAATAATAAAAAGAAAGCAGCACAATAACGAGAGAAGCAGCTCGAGGAGCCCCCCTTTGCACCGCGGAGTCCCAGAGAAGTGAAACGCACGGGACATTCAGCGGTGTTTTTGTAACGGCATCGTTTGAAGTCATTGAGGGAGATGCATCATTTGGGGGAGAAGAGGGACAGAGGAAAGCGATGGCCAAAGGTCTATTGTTTGGCCTTTCATTGGCTTTGTGCACGTTATTGAACATTGCGGTGAGTACGGCGACACAAGAAAGAAAGCAACACATTGCCAAGGCAACCGGAGCCTGTAATTGTCTGTTAGCACTTCAGAGCTTGCAGCTGCACAGGCTCTTCCGTGACTGAGCCTGGCTTTGGCCATTGGTGATACGGGGGAGTAGAGGGAGTTTGGGGGGGGGGGGTTGTGTGTTGTTAAATGGGGGGGCCTCCAAAGTTTTTCCGTCTTACAAAAGTTTTAAGCAGTCGATTTGCTCCGTCAGTCAGCCACTCGTCGTTTGGACACTCCTACCTGTCAGCAAACAAGCGCTGCGGTCCATAGTTCCCGTAATTATAGTGGCAGGAAAAACACCACCTTTCAGCGTAAAAGGTGGTCATATTTTAAAGGTTCAGCGAGAAGAGAACATGATTAATGTCTGAGGACAGGAATTTGTTGGTTGGTATGAAACCGTGTGTCTGCCTTACTGCAAACGTTAGTTTAAATGCAAATGTGTCTGTGTTAACCTGTTTGTCTTATAAGTTATAAACAGCTCCTCGCCAAAAGTATATCCGCTCGCCATAGTTCAAGAGCAGCAAAAACCGTGGCGGGCCGCTTTCACAATCTGAAGCCAAAAACATGATGGGATCTGGCAGGGATTTCCTTCAAATCAATGGTCACGCTTTTTCTGACGGAATGTAGCTGGAACATCTGCTGCCCGAGGTCCGGCCAACAGGTGCTGCTGAGCAGCGCGGTGTCGTGAGAACACACAGAGCCCACTGGGACCACGGCAAAGTCAGGTGCTCCAGAGCCATGTTCATTGGGGGGGAGCATTAAACCATAAGCAGAACTGTAAACTTGATCCAGGACAGAGCAGAGTTCAACACAGTGCCAGCTCGCCCACGCAGGCTCACATTGCCTCATGGGCCTCTGCACGGATACGAGACGTGTTACTCACAAAGATTCTCATAACCTCTTCAAATCCCCGTCTGTCACAACAACCGCTGTAGATGCGTAGCAAGCAGGAACGTTGGCCGATTTGGCCCATTTTTGTAGGAAATGTGGAGCATCAAGGAGAAAAATACTGAAATATTTGCAGGGAAAACGGTTTTGTCTGACTACATAGTCTGCATACTAGGGGGAAATTTACAGAGGGAAAACTATTCAGGGGGAAAAAAACACTTGAAAAAATGTTTGTTTTTCCCGTTTTGGCGCTATTGACATAGCTGTTTTTTCGTTCCGGCCTATCCTGTCCTTTTTCACACACACACACACACACGCACACACACACACACACACACACATACACACACACACACACACACAAACACACATCCAGCCAACCTTGTCGCTGCAAGCCCTCACCACGGCAACAAGCCCAGAGGAATTGATGATTTTCAACACTCCCCCCTTAGGGATTGTGTTGATTGCTGACGTTAGGGACTGCAAGGTGTGTCTATGTCAACGGAAAAGACAATAAGACAATACAAATATGATTAGAAACAGAGAACAGAGCGTAGTCATTCTTTCACACAACCCAGACGATTGCTTGTTGCTCTGAGATACGTATTCAGACGTGCTGAGCAAATCCTTTTTGTTAATTTGGGTTTCGGTGCCAGAAATGGTGGTGTGATATTTCACAGAGAGGGGAGAATTGTAAAGTCCAGCTGTTGAGTTTGACAGCTTAAGGGCACAGCTGGTCTTCTGTTTGTGTTCTGTGTGTGTGTGTGTGTGTCCATGTGTGTGGGTGAGGGTGTGTCTAATATGCACCTATAAGTTATCCAGTGGTTCATATCCGTTATGTCCATTTTTCTTTTTTTTAATTAATAGCTGATGTAATGCAGTGTCATGTTCACCATTAATTGTGCCTTTCAAATGATATGAGCAAGATTGAGAGAGACTGGAATGAGCCGTGATGAGGGGTGAAATATCAGTGAGATCAAGATATAAAATCACTGAACATGTAATTGAGATTTAAAGACCATTTCTAACCGAGTTAGTGTGTTATTGGCAACGCTGCAACCTATGAAGCGGATGGATGGAGGGAAGCAGGAAGGTTCGGTGAAGGAAGGAGCCCTGTCCTCTGGGTGTGTTGGGGAGTTAGATGAGACATGGCTGTAACCCTCAGGGATCAAGGGTAGCCCAGCCAGACCAAAACACCGTCCTCCCCTCTCCTCCCGTCTCCTCTTCTCTCCCCTTTGCTCTCCCCCCGTTGTTCTCTCCT